ATAAGACTGAAGAATCAACGGCCACCCCTCAGACGTGAATGCAGGGTTGACTCTTTCTGGATGTTATAGTCATAAAGAGTGGCCCCATCCTCTAGCTGCTTGCCTGCAGAGATGAGCCTCTGTTGGTCAGAAACGATCCCTTCTTTATCCTGGATCTTGGCTTTTACATGTTTTTATTTATTTTTTTCTTTTTTCTTTTTTATTTGTATTTTTCTTTTATTTTTCTTTCCAAAATCTGTAATTTGTATCCACCAAGCACTTTTAGACAAGTAATATCTCCATTTCTTCTACCAACCCTATGAAGTATTGATTATCATGCCCATTTAAGTGACCGAGGCTCAGAACTGCTGAGTAGTCTGTTTTTAGACCACAGATGCAAGTGATTCCAGAGCCTGTGTGCTTTCCACAGCACTGCATTACCCTGTCTTCCAATTAATAGCAATAAACATGCAAGAAAACATGTCACTGGGCTCCACCTCTAGGAGGATGGTCTTGCCCATCAGGGTCTTCATGAAAATTTGCATTTTGATCTGTTGGCAAATGTGAAGACTACAAATTTCTGATCACTTCCAGCTGCCTCAGTGCTGATGAACAGCCACTCTACAAATCCAGTTGCCACTGAATCTATTTCTTTATTTTTTAAGAAGAAGCAAGATCTCACTGTGTTGTCCAGGCTGTGCAGTATAGTGGGTCCTCACAGGAGTGATTTTACGCACTGCAGCCTTGAACTCCTGGGCTCAAGTGATCCTTTTGCCTCTGGCTCCTGAATAGCTGGGACAACAGCATGGGCCACTGTGCCTGGCCTTTTTATTTTTGTGTTATGCATATTCAGATTGTTTCTTTTCTTTTTTTTTTTTTGAGACAAGAGTCTCACTATGTTGCCCTCAGTAGAGTGCCATGGTGTCACAGCTTACAGCAACCTCAAACTCTTGGGCTTAAGTGATTCTCTTGCCTCAGCCTCCAGAGTAGCTGGGACTACAGGCACCTGCTATACCGCTCGGCTATTTTTGGTTGCAGTTGTTGTTGTTTAGTAGGCCCGGGCCAGGCTTGAATCTGCCAGCCTTGGTGTATGTGGCTGGCGCCCTGTTCACTGAGCTATGGGCACCGAGCCTCAGATTATTTCTTATTTTTTACTGTTATGAGTAATTCTGTGATGAGTTTATGTACGAGGCTGTTTTTTCCCATATGTTTTGGATTTTTCTGAGATTGAATCCTAGGAATGGAATTATTGGGATGAATGTGAACATTGTTTGCTGTGCATACACACTCTGTAATCTGCCCATATATAGTAGGTGCTTGGCCAGTTCTTAAAGAGTGAATACTAAGAGTACCATTTCACAAGAACCTCACTAACACTGGATAGTCTCATAAATCTCACTTGATGAAGGGGAACTTATTTGACTTAGCTCTTTTTGAGTATTGGTGGGTCAGAGTTTTTTAAATATGTTTGATAATTGCATGTGCATTTTCTCTAGTCAGCTGTGTACATGTATTAATGACCTTAACATGTTTTGTCTTATTTAGCTCTTGGGCTTTGCTTGGTGGCCATTGGAGCTACCATGCTAACCATTTCTTTTTCTCCACATGAGCCATTCTAACATAGATGAATGTTACAAGGGCTTAGATTCATCTCTGCTTTTTGTTAACCTCAGTAACAAACAGAAAGAGGGTGTCTATAAGAAAATGATGTTTATTCAGGAATAGGGCATTGCAATGGGAATGCACAGGCCTTAGTAAACTCTGTGCATATTCAGGGAAGTAAAGGAAGACAAAGATTTTGAAAGGAAAAGTGAGGATTGCATAATTATTTTGAGGTAGTATTCCTTGGCTATGAGGCTCAGTAGCAAGGGTGAACCAGAGTGAGGTTGGACAGCCAATTGCTGGGCAGAAGTATTTCTTGTATGAGGTTATGATGGCCTCATGGAAGAGCATGGTTTCTCTGACACTGTCTCTCCATCGCCTTTTCCAACTCTGTCAAGGTTTTTTCTTTCTTTCTTTTTTTTTTTTAACACACAGCACTCCATTTTGCACTTGATCTTAGCTAAAAGGCTGAGAAGTGATTATTTATTCCATTTTGATGACAATTTCAATGTAGCTCTCCTTTTTCTACCTCTTAAAAATAACTTGTTGGGACTCTATTCCTTTTATAATAGTGCCAAAGAAGATGAAATATCTGGGAATTTACCTAACAAAGGATGTGAAAGATCTCTATAAGGAGAACTATGAAACTCTGAGAAAAGAAATAGCTGAAGATGTTAACAAATGGAAAAACATACTATGCTCATGGCTGGGAAGAATCAACATTGTTAAAATGTCCATACTACCCAAAGCAATCTACAGATTTAATGCAATCTCTATCAAAGCACCATTGCCATACTTAAAAGAACTTGAAAAAATAGTACTTCGTATTATATGAAATCAGAAAAAACCTCAAATGGCAAATACATTACTCAGAAATAAGAGCAAATCAAGAGGTATCACATTACCAGACTTCAGGCTATACTATAAATCTATAGTAATCAAAACAGCATGGTATTGGCACAAAAGCAGAGCTGTAGATTTATGGAACAGAATAGAGAACCAAGAGATGAACCCAGCTTCTTATCACCATTTGATCATCAACAAGCCTATCAGAAATATTCAGTGGGGGAAAGACTCCTTGTTTAACAAATGGTGCTGGGTGAATTGGCTGGCGATCTGTAGAAGACTGAAACCGGACCCCCACCTTTCACCATTAACGAAAATTGGTTCTCATTGGATAAAAAATTTAAACTTAAGACATGAGACTATAAAAATACTAGAAGAGAGTGCAGGGAAAATACTTGAAGACATTGGCCTGGGAGAATATTTTATGAGGAGGATCCCCTGGGCAATTGAGGCAACACCAAAAATACATTACTGGGATCTGATCAAACTAAAAAGCTTTTGCACAGCCAAGAGCACAGTAAGTAAAGCAAACAGACAACCTTCAGAATGGGAAAGATTTTTGCAGGTTATGCTTCTGACAAAGGTCTGATAACTAGAATTTACAGAGAACTCAAACTAATCAATAAGAAAAGAATAAATAACCCTATGTCTATGTGGGTAAGAGACTTGAACAGAAACTTCTCTGATGAAGACAGACACATGACCTACAAACACATGAAAAAATGCTCATCATCTTTAATCATCAGAGAAATGCAAATCAAAACCACTTTGAGATATCATCTAACTCCAGTAAGATTAGCCCACATCACAAAATCCCAAAACTACAGATGTTGGTGTGGATGCGAAGAGAAGAGCACGCTTCTACACTGCTGGTGGGAATGCAAGCTAATACGACCTTTTTGGAAAGAAGTTTGGAGAACACTCAAGGAACTAAAAGTAGACCTACCATTTGAACCTGCAATACTTCTACTAGGTGTATACCCAGATGATCAAAAATTATTTTACAACAAAGACATTTGCACCAGAATGTTTATTGCAGCCCAAATCATAATAGCCAAGACATGGAAACAGCCCAAGTGCCTATCAACCCATGAATGGATTAACAAGTTGTGGTATATGTACACCATGGAATACTATGCAGCCACAAAAATGATGGAGACTTCATATCTTTTATGTTTACCTGGATGGAACTGGAACATATTCTTCTTAGTAAAGTATCTTAAGAATGGAAAAAAAAAGTATCCAATGTATTCAATACTATGTGAAATCAATATATAACCATCTACACACTCAAACGAATGGCAAAACATTAACTATAGTCCAGAAAGTAGAAGGGAAGAGGAGAGAGAGAGGAAGGGAGGGGGGACATGGAAGGAGGAAGGGCATTTGAGGGGACCTCATTTAATGTGCATGATGCAGTGGTACATTTCAAAACTATTAAGAAATGAGTATAATTGTGATGGATGTGTTACTTAGTCAATGTAAGCATTTCACATTGTATTTCAAAGCAATACCCTGAACCCCATTAATGCATCAATGTATAAAGTTATGATTTAATAAAAAAACAATTAGAAAAAATGACTTATTGGCTCAGCGCCCATAGGATAGTGGTTATGGTGCCAGCCACATACACTGAGGCTGGTAGGTTTAAACCCAGCTCAGGCAAGCTAAACAAGAATGACAACTGCAACCAAAAAAATAGCCAAGTGTTGTAGCGGCTGCCTATAGTCCCAGCTACTTGAGGCTGAGGCAAGAGAATCGCTTAAGCCCAAGAGTTTGAGGTTGCTGTGAGCTGTGATGCCACAGTGCTCTACTGAGGGCGACATAGTGAGACTCTGTCTCAGAAAAGAAAAAAAATAAAAATGACTTGTTTTTGGTTGGGTGCAGTTGTTCACATCTGTAATCATAGCACTCTGGGAGGTTCACTTGAGCTCAGGACTTCAGACCAGCCTGAGCAAGAGTGTGACCTTGTCTCCACTAAAAATAGAAAAATTGGCTGGGTCGTGTCAGATGCCTATTGTCCCAGCTACTTGGGAGGCTGAGACAGGAGGATTGCTTGAACCCAAAAGTTAGAGGTTGCTGTGAGTTAGGCTGATGTCACATCACTCACAGCAGCCCAGGCAAATAAGACTGTGTCTCCAAAAAAAAAAAAAACAAAACAAAACACTGTTTTTTCTTTTGAACCATTATGCAGATAACATGTTCATTCATTTTAGAATGTTTGAAAATATGGAGAAATGGAGAAAAAATTTAACTTTGATCCCACCTTTAATCCTACCCAGCTGAAGACAGTTACTGTTAACATTTTGTGCTTTTCTTCTAGTTCTTTTAAAAAATGATGCTTCTTTTTCACAGCTGGAGGCTTTTCTTCCTTACCATCGACATCGTAACAAACATTATCCTGTGTTATTCCAAACTCTTTGTGTTACTTTTACTTTGGATTTTGAATGTTGTCGGTGTTAATCTTTTTCTTTTCCTTTTTCCCCCCAAGGTGAAAAAGGAGCCCAGATTTCTTGGTTGATTTCGTGATGTATGATAAGAAGCTCATCTCACCTCTCTCCTCTCTCCACCAGAGGTCGGAAGACTGTAAGCCTGCTCTGTCGGAAGAGGGTCCCCTTTTGGATGAGATGTATGCGGAGAACCAGAGGCTGCGTAGAAACATTAAGAAGGTCACCCAGGAGCTGAGTGACTTGCAGCAGGAGAGAGAGAGACTGGAGAAGGACCTGAAGGAAGCCCATCGGGAGAGGAGCAAAGGGGACTGCACCATCCTGGTGAGTACCGCCTGCCCTCTGACAGAGGGGGCCGTGCAGCTGGGCAAGGGCTGTGTGGCTGTTGCAGGCTATAGGGTGATATTCAGTGTAGAAAACTTAGAGAAATCTGAAAATTGTGAAGAAGAAAATAAAGATAAATTCATTGTACCCAGAAATTACCAGTTTCAATTATTTGATGTTTGGGTACTTTTATCTTCTCTCTCTCTGTCTTGCACACATACCTCATTGATGTCAAACTGAAAATACAGGTTTGTATCTTTCTTTTTTAAATTCAGTGTTCGTTCCCTCTTTGATATGTTGCCATGTTACTAATGTTCTTCAAAAACAGTGTTTTTTTTTTTTTGTTTTTTAGTGCTAGGATAATATTTTATCATTTGAATGTGTAACAATTTATTTACCTAGTTACTTATTGAAGATAATTTAGATAACTTCACTTTTTTTTTTGCCTCATAATGAATTTTCCAGCCAACATCCTTGTACATAACTATTTATTCATCGAGTCTGTAGATCCTTTCCTTCTTTTGCCCCTTCCCCTTCCTTCTTTTCAGATGAGGTCTCGTTTCAAGGTCTTCATCCTCCTGCCTCAGCCTCCCGAGTAGTTAGGATGATAGGCATGTGCCACTACACCCCGCTCACAAGTGTTTCTTCTTACTGGGTCAGAGAGTGTAGATCTTTTAAAGACTAGTTAAAACATATACTCAAATTATTCTCCGGGAAGATAGTACCAGGTTTCTCCGTGATCTTTTTACATGACTTTGTTAGCATTTAAAAATTCTCTCTGAATTTGGGAGGCTTATGGAGTTTTACTTACATTAATGTTTAAATTTAAGTATTCAGTGGCTTTTAATTCCTCCTGAGAGTCATATCCAGATATGTAGCTTTGGTGTAGTCAGATAGAGTTAGAGTCTGACTCTGAGTGATCATTGACACTCAGGTTAATTGAATAACTTGCCCCAGATTCTGGAGCAGGCAAAGTCAGTAGAATATAGGACTCAAAAGAGAGTTCACTGGCACCAGTGGGTAGTTCTGGTGGCTGCTGTTGGCAGGGATGCCAGGATCCATTGGTTGAAAGTCCAGTGTTAACACTGAAAAAGAATTTAAATAGAAACATTCGTGTGCTTTATTACAATTTTAACATTAACAGAGTAATGGAAATTTAGAAAAAATAAGAAGGCTCAGCACCCGTAGCACAGTGGTTACAGCACCAGCCACATACACCGAGGGTGGTGGGTTTGAACCCAGCCCAGGCCAGCTAAACAACTGCAACAAAAAAATAACCAGGCGTTGTGGCAGGTGCCTGTAGTCTTAGCTACTTGGGAGGCTGAGGGAAGAGAAATGCTTAAGCCCACGAGTTTGAGGTTGCTGTGAGCTGTGACGCCACAGCAGCACTCTACTGAGGGTGACATAATGAGACTCTGTCTCAAAAAAATAAAAAAAATAAGAAAGTAGCAGTTACGATTCCACTACTCTGAAAACAACTCTTTGTGCTTGTCAATGTACCCCTTCAGTCATGGTGTACTTGGGCTGCTTGTGTGATCAGAGCTACATACTGTTCTGTGCTCTTTGATCACTCCTGTATCCTAGGCCCCCCCCCCCCCACCATGTAGGCTCTGGAGTGATCATGTGGCACTGCTCACCTCATGCGACTAACCTGCCTTACTCAATGGTGCTCTCTTTTGCTGGACATTTTGGCTTTTTATTTTTATTTTTTTTGAGACAGAGCTTCAAGCTGTTGCCCTGGGTAGAGTGTCATGGCATCACAGCTCACAGCAACCTCCAACTCCTGGGCTCAAGCAATTCTCCTGCCTCAGCCTCCCAAGTAGCTGGGACTACAGGCGCCCGCCACAATGCGCGGCTATTTTTTGGTTGCAGCCGTCATTGTTGTTTGGCAGGCCTGGGCTGGATTCGAACCTGCCAGCTCAGGTGTATGTGGCTGGCGCCTTAGCCGGTTGAGCCATAGGCGCCGGGCCCATTTTGGCTTTTTAAATAATGCCATAATGAATATCTCTGGACATACAGGCATTTTCTCTTGAAATCCCTGGGATAGACCCTGAAAAGAGAGATTACTGGGTCAGATAGTGCAAATATTTTATACTCATTAATTATGCTGCCAAGTTAGTTGTCCAAAGAGCTGGCCCATTTTGTGTTGCCAACAGTAATTTTGGAGTGTGCCACATTTTTGCATGTTATTAAAGGATGTGTAAATACAAGATTCAATTTTATTGACCACCAAATGTGGTTTAGATACTGATGAGATTGTAAGACATAACTTCCAAAAATTTCATTTTTCTAAGGGCAGTGAAATGTTATACATGACAAAACGCAAAACAATTTAAAATCCAAAGCTAGTGAACATCACCTATAATCTTTGCAAAATTTTCTCTGTGCAAAAGATCTTTGCATAGATGGAATAGTCAGGTATGACTTTCTAGAAGGGGCTGACACTTGAGTTGAATGAAAAGGGTGAGATGTAATAGTGTGTCTTTATGGATGTATAGAGAAAAGTCTGACCAGAGGGTTCTTTTATAGAGTTGCAGTTTTTATTGTCAATTCTTACACTATTTGCTGTTGGATAACAATTTTTTTATTTTAAAATAGATACCTCCCACCCCCTACTGCTATCACATAAATATTCATTTATTAAAACGTTGATGGTAGGGGAAGAGGAGACACACACACGTATGTACACAGTATAACCTCTGTAAGTTGATCACCCAGGGGATGTGACAAACTGGTCAACACAGAGAGGTGGTCAGCAGAAGGAATGTGGTGCACTGTACTGATATGTCCATATGGTGCATGTCTGGTCTGTATAGGGAGCTGGTCAACTATGGAGGCCCTGTGGTACTTAAAATTATATGTACACGTATGATCCATAGTCTTTTTACATTATAACTTAATCTCGGTAAACATTTGGAATGGCTAGTTATATAACATTACATCAGGTGGATATGCTATAATTTTCTTATATATCCCTCTATTATTAGACATTGCTGGTTTCATAATTCACTTATTCATATAAACCCTAGTGTTTCTAGAAGAATTTTAGGCTGCTGTAGATAAAAAGATATATTCCTGTTTAACATGTATACCTCTTCATAAGGAGGTTACAGCATTAGGTAAGGAATGGAAGGGATTGTGGCAGTGGGAGAGAGGGATTGGGATGAAGTATACTATGAATGGGACTTTCTTCCGAGAGGTGGAAACCCAGCTTGAACAAACTCTGGTGCAAGGGAGATTTTGCCCGTGTAACTGGGTTGCTGTAAGGACAGGGGCACTGGAACACTGCTTTTTCTTACATGTGCTTACCCCAGTTCCAAGTGGTTGGACCCCTCTTTGCCCTCCCTGCTGGGAACACATCTTCTCAGTTTATTGCAGAAGAGGAAGGAGGACTCTCACACTTCACTAGCCTTGCTGGCTTCCTGTGAGGATGGCCAGACAGGTGACATACTGAGAAGCCCAGCTCGGGTCACATGCCCATCTTGTTTTGGCAGGAGAGAGAGAGAGAGAGTGTGTGTGTGTGTGTGTGTGTGTGTGTGTACCATCCTGGTAGTCACCTCTCAAACCACCTGTTTGGAGGGAGCAGGTACCCAGAGAAAATGGTATTTTGTCTTGGGGCACTGGGCAGACCAAAACAACAGCTGTGGACTGTAAATGCTCACCTCGGTCAGGTGAGCATGCCTGTGACCCATCTCACTGTGGCCGCTTTATATATCAAATTGCCTGTTTCTGACAGGAGGATTTGGCCATGCTTCTGGTGTTTTTGTGTATTTACTGCATCTCAGTTTTATGTATCTCTAGCTCACTTTTGGATACAGTCTAACGATTTGGATGTAGCTGTTTCACATGTATGCTTTATACCAGATTTTGGGGGTGCTAGATTGTTGGAGTTGTTGTTCTTCAGTCTGGGGAAACATGGTGAGGTGATATTTTTGCTTTATGGTGCCGTGATCAATTCACAGGTAGAGCATAATCCACTAGCCTTGTAGATCTTGTTTGTTTCTGTTAGTGAGGCCTCTTTATTTACCTAGGGTCCCCCGCACTTGGCAACTACTTCTGGTGTTGCTTTTGGATTGAACCGACAAAAACTCAGACCTCTTAGTAGTCCTTATATCTGTGCTGGCAAAGGAAAGGAATCTATTAATACATTCAGCAACATAGGACACTTCATGTAGGTCCTCTACTAAATTTGGGGACAGTTCTACACCAGAGATATGAACAAATTACCATAGGAACACAGAGGAAGGACGTGGCCTGCAAGACCACAGAAGACTTCTGGGGAAAGTAAGTATTGAACTGGTTCTGAAGTATGAGTTAAAGGTTAAAAGATAGGCAAGAGAGAGAAGGGTTTTATACAGAAGATTGAGAGGTGGGTGATTTGGGGGAAGAAGAGTTTGGGGCTGTGGTTGCCTCTAGGGACATGTAATGAGTTTCAGAGCCTGTACTTGACCTGTAGGGAGTGGGGCCCATGTGGAGGGGAGTAAGGCAGAGGATGGACAGAATCAGATCTGCAATTTGGAAAGACTAATTTGGTGGATGGATTGGTGTGGGAAAGTTGGGAGACGAGAAGGTGAGAACAGGCCTTTCTTCACCATGTAGGTCAGGCTCTGAGAGGTCAGGGTTATGGGGGTGGCGGGAGCTGTTCTTCTGCGAGGGGGATGCTCGTGTCAGGCTGCGGGGGCTTGCCTCATATTCAGAGGTCCACCTGAGGATTCTTGGAGATTCTGTTTGGAGTCTTATGTTTACTTGAGCTTCCCTGAATCCCGCAGGTAGGATAAAGAAAACATTGGTAAGAAAAATGTCCAAAACACAGGTCTTGGTCTTAATCAACATTCAGTTCAATCTTCAGCAACCTTCTTTGTTAATGAAAATTGCTATTTTGAGTGATAGAAGTAAAGAGATGTAGCCCTTAGGTGTAGATTGTACTTTATATTTTATAAGAGATTGCCTGTGTTCTTCATGATGCGTACAGCCTTGGGCATCTTCCCATCTAATAGATT